TATAGGTGTATCCATTTCAATGAGAAAAACTGAAACAAAAGGCCTGTAAGTGGATGAGGTTAAAAATATAAATGTACATAAATGTCAGACAATTCAGCTTGTTACACCCCGGTAATCACACACTGTTTCATGTCTGCCCAAAATGTCCTCGGAGAGAAACGCCTCAAAACCAAAGCTTAATTTCTGTGTTTGGTTCCTCTGCTGCGTGAACCAGGTTCCTTCAGGGTGATGGTGTTTAGTTTGAGCCTCATCTCCCTTCTCCCATGCTGAGGTAAGGGTATTTTTTTGTAAGTTACTATGACAACGTCTTGGCCAGCTGGATATAAAGGCTAATACGCCTATTCCAGGAAATGGGGTTACTTCCTCACCCAGTGTGAACAACTTCCTGCCTTCTGCTGTATGGGATATCTGCCAGGGCTGAAGGACACCCTCACGTGTGCAGTATTGTCTGTATTTTCCCTGTTACTTCCCATTTTTTTTCTGCAGCTACTAGTTCTAAACTACTAGTGCTCAACTCTCCCTCATTATTTCTCTGGAACTTCGAATCGTCATGGCCGTAACCACTTCTGGAAGTGCTTTAGTGTCATCCACAAAACAATGGCTAAGGCCATAGGGAGGACCCAGCGCAGTGCAACTTCGTGTAAACAACCACACTGCCAGTAAAACGTTTTCTACCTCGACCATGAAAGGCTATTATTTCAGCCTTCCCTTTACTAAATTTACAGGTTTCACAGGGGAAAAGTAAAGACAGCTATTTTAAGGAAATCATATTAGGAACTGTAGGTTAAAGGTGTGCTGTTGGACCCATTTTTATATCAGTGGAGGGTGGGGGGGGGGCATCATCCAAACCAAAAGAGACTAAATCATCTAATGTCCACTTTTTAATAGTCAGCAAGTCACTGAGTGCTGCTGCGTGGTCCGCTGTTAAATGTAAAAGCCAACAGAATTTATTCATTTGTGAAAGAAGAATCTATTTCTTTCTAACCTTCTATCTTTAAATATAATGTAAATTTCAACTGATGTTTAGCATTACAAAAAGGTTTTAGCTAAACTTTATCGTGTTGTTCATTGTGCTGAATACCATGTAATATTGTCCAACACGTGCTGAGATTTAGTGCTGAGCCACACAACAGTTAATATGTATAGTGAATGAAAGTTCAAACATACACAGAGATACATTTTATAGTATCTATAATATAGTGGTATATTAGAGTGTTCTCTTTGTCATCCTTTTTCATTCATTCTTTTATGTCTCTAATTTTGTGTCTGTTACACTTAAGTCAAATGCAACTCAAGTGGAAACATTGACACTGCAGATGCATACACACAAACCACATTTGATAACTTTAGCCTTATTTGGGGGGTTTTCTGAGTGGAGTGCTTCATATTGAGGCTCTCCTATATTAGTGTCGGTTGATGTGCATACCAAAATGTCAAGTTATTGAATAGTTTGTTTCTGCTAATGCCTTTGACCTGTCTGCTCTTTTCTACTTTGTTGAAAGGTATGTCAACCCCCCTCGCCCCTTTTTTTAATTACTGTGAACTGTATCTGTATTATTTGTTCACATTAAAAATGATTTGAGATTTACAGATTGTAACTTGTTACAAGCATTTTAAACCAAAATGTGACAAATTGTTTCATATTTAATTCCAAACTGACACTTAAGTCACATTATACAATATAACAAAACTAAGGATTCTGATTGGTGAATAACTAAAAATTGTAATATAAACAATAAAGATAAATAAAATGACAGCCAACTGAACAGAGACTCGGAGAGATCAAAAGTGCATTTCATTTCTTTTCTCCTACTGCAGCAGTGTTTCCATAAAAATAATAACTGCTATAATATTGCTTTAGTAAGTCTGAACAAAAAAGTGACTTGGTGTGGTGCAAAGACCTCATCTATCCACTGTGCCGTTAACCTGAGAAGTCACATTAGCCTGTTCTGCACACAGGCACATTTTTAGGTATTTTGTGAAATTGTTCATGTCCCAGCAGAACAAATCTTGAAATAAAGCTTGCTCCAATCTTTGTTGCTGAGGGCAGTGAGACACTGACCAGCAGTAGGAAAACACTCAGCATTAGCTGAGCGTTGCGCAGCTGGTTGTGGTGAAAAGCCATTACAGAATATCATGTAGCTGCATTGGCACATTTTCAAGTTTGTGTACGGCTATTCAAATGAAGTATTTGTCCAGATTCCACTACTGGTATTGGTATTGGGGCCAGCAAACAACACATTTTGCTTTAAGTTGATTCTGTAGGCCTGAAGTATTTCAGTGACAAAAAAACATTTGTTTGCAAAAGTTGCACAAGACCATACAAAAAAAAAAAAAAACAACCTTTCTGCCCATTCAGAAAATGTGGCCTTTTCTGGTGTTACAGTTCAACAAACGTTCTTGTTTGCAGATAGTACTGATAGTACTCAATGCATCCTGTACATCCAGTTGCTGCAAGAAGACAAATTTTATGTTTATTTTTGTGTGTGTACATCACTATTATCGATGTGTCAAAAAATAGAGGACCTTAAAAGTTCCAATTCAAGTTATTTTTTAGGTAAGTCCTTTTTCTTCCTTTTAAGACTATATATTTGCAAATGGGAAAGAAGCTAACATGGACTGAAAAACTATTTACTTCCATATCTGCAAAATCATGTCCAAAATGGCAGGGAGTGAAATGAGCAAATACTCTTGACAGGTACAAATATTCGCCTATTTATAAAATCAGTTTGGAATTTCTTTAAATGCAGTTTAATAAAACCTTCTTTGAGCATTTATTTACAGTTTGGAAGCCAAACTCTAAACATATCACATGTTGGGCTGCAGACCTGCTGCCTATTTGAATGTCTATGGTGTACGTGAGGCATCGTGTCAGTGAAATAGTTGTATCGAAATACTCCCTCATCACAAGCTTAGATGTATTTGCATGTGTAAGACTAAAAAGCACTTCATCTTCTTTTTCTCTGTTAGAGGAACAACAAAGTCTTTCTATTCTATTATTCTATTTAAATACACATGCACACACAGACACCTACTCACACACACACCCATAAACACACAAACACACACATATAGACACCAGTCTGGTCAGGTAACTTCTGCGTGGTTCCTTTTGCAGCGTACAGCTGCTGGCTGTAGTTTCACTGTTGACTTTGTCAATCCAGTCTTATCAAGGCTCTCATTCCTGGAAGTTTTTTCTGTCTGGTTCATTGATAGCAAAGCGTGAGAACAGCAAGGTATACAAGGCTATTGACACGATGTGGAGTAACAGTCCACTCGGGTGTTTGGAAACCATTGTTACCCAATGTATCTGTCTTTGTGCTTGCCAAATGATAGTTTTTTATGCACATTGTACATGTCCAAATGTGTGAATTACTGAAGTGAGACAATCCCTCCCAGATCTGGTAAAATCATTTGTTCCTTTTTATGTCTGGCTTTACAACAGTATGAATGGGAAGCTCATCAAACCAGCAGAAGGATCTTAGCAGGCCTTTCCGGTCTCTTCTGCTCTTACTTCAAATCTTTCACTCCCTGCCTGATGAATTAGCCTTTTCAGCTCTCCCTTCTTCCTCCCTCTCACCCTCCTACTTTTTTGACTTCTCTTTGCAGAAAATGCCATTGTCTGCCATTTGTTTAGTTTGGCTTGATGTTTTACAGCAGATCCACTGCAGGTTGTCTTGTCTCAGTAATTTAGCAACTACTTTTTACATCATTAACAACATACACTGTGTAATTATAGACATATGTATATTGCACACTTTAAGCAGTGCATTGAAATATAGCATACCCATTTTTTTCCTTCTCTTGTAATGCAGCAGATTTCTGACATGTACCCACACTTTATTACATTTGTACGTACAAAGCGGTGTGTGTGTGTGTGTGTGTGTGTGTGTGTGTGTGTGTGTGTGTGTGTAAAAGAGGGAGAGAGAGAGATGCACATGTTTGTGGGGATTATCAATTTCACAGTGGTTTATGGATGGTATCCCCATGTCCAATGGAGTATGTCTGTGAGCCCCGCTCTAAGGCATTATTGGTGCGTGGACTCTGACACTGTGGTATTTGAAATGCAGCCATTTTGAGACACATCTGAAAAATATCAATTCCCTTGAATACTCATCCATTTACATTACTCTGTGATTAAACTAGGCACAGGAAGTAACATCTCTTTTATGCCGAGCACACTTCCTGTAGTGCATTTTCTGTTTTGTAAAGAATTGTTTCTTAGAAATCAGCTGATCTCTCCTCACTTCTGTAAAAAGCTTTCTTATGTATAGAAAAATGTCTTAGTCACCTCAACATGTGAATAAATAAAACAGAAATACGTAAGTGTTTGTACACTTTACAGTATGAACTGTTCTAAGACTTTTCTTCAGTTTTGTAAGAAGAACACTTGAGTTGTGTTTCTGGTGTCTTAAAAGCTTATGTCTCTGGCCATGAGTTTTCACAAGTGAGGAAATAGTGGGAAATAATTCCTCAGTGCTGTTTTTTTTGTCTGTTTGCTCATTCAAACCCCTTACAGGACCACTGAGTAGCAGTAACTAAAACTGCATTATCTCATAAAAGATAAGGGATAATCCTGGACTACACTCTATTACTTTTCACACAGAAAGATTGGGTGTGTTAACCTACAAAGATGAAATTATTTGTTTTGTATAAAATAGAATTTTTAGGCAACTATTGACTTTAGTTGAAATGCTCATACCTCGACATAGAAAATCATAATGGGTAATGAAAAACACCATAACATTAAACCTGGCTCAGTTGTGGAGTTGAAAACTGTCAAATGTAATTGACATTTTGCAAATTCTCAAGAAATCATTGAAATTCCTGTAGGATTTCAGCTGAGAAGATTGTCAGGTCCATGATGTATGTAAAAACTCGGTACAGTTTTTATATTTGTATTTGTTCTACTAAAAACTACTGTGTTGTATCTGCTGTTCAGATTCTGGCTTATGATCTTATAGATTTCTTCTCCGCTGACTGTGTCTTCTCACTTGCAGCTCTGCAGTGTATGGATGACATCGCGCCATGTGTCAACAATGCTACGTGTCTGACTTTCACCAATGGCACTGAGTACTGCAGGTAAGACTGGCTGGATAAAACTGACACACAACCTAAATGTTCAACTTATGTTTTCATTTGTTGCTCTGCAATCTACAGAAATGGTGATTTAGACTAATTGCTGCCTGTCTATGGGACTTTAAGGTTCTGCTCAGACACGAACAGAGGAATAAAGAACTGCTGTGTCTCAAAGTGCAACAGCACTGGGAACAATACCAATACACACATTTTAATCTCTGAGATCATATTTCAGGCTTGTGGGGGATTTTGCCATTTAGTCTCTTGCTGTTGCAGAACTGAAAGTTTATAATAGAAAAGAGATTTTTTCTTTTTGTCTTTTTATTTGTTGCTAGGAGGTCATTTAAGAGAAACTGATGAGAAAAAAAACTTGGCGGCTGCTTTAAAAAAAATGACACATGGGATATTAATTGTTACCACACATCTCCAGACTTTTGTTCCTGTGAAAATTCCATATTAGTTGTCAAAACCTGTCACAGCCTGCCATTAAAACACCTACTACCGGTGGTACAACGAGAGAGTTGCGGAAATATGCATTAGATAATGTGATGTACGTCTTCCACGTTCTGACAGCTTAGTGCAGTTTGTAATTAAGACTGAGCGGTCTTCATAATTGCAATGCCACTCCCGAGCCAAATTCCCAACAAAAAACACACACTTAGCTGGTTCGTGAACCTGATCATATTTCATCAAATGTGATGTGAATCACACTCTGTGTCTGTTCCCAGAGCTGTTGGAATTTCAACACTCCAATGCAGTTGTAAAAATTTGACGGGGAAAATTACACTTAAATCAGTGTTTGGCGCATACTTGTTCAATCAAAGGTTAGATAAATATTCTACTGCTGATGTAGTTAAACATGGTCTGCATTGCACTATGTGAGTCTATTCAGTACAAAAAAATGACAGTTATCCACATTTCTGTTTTTGTTTTTTCTCAGATTTCAGTGCACAGTTATCCACATTTCTGTTTTTGTTTTGTTTTTTCTCAGATTTCAGTGCGCAGCTACATTCCTGAGCTGGCATGCATCTATATTAAAGTATCAAAGCATCTGCTGTAACCCGCAGATTAAGATGATGATTAATTTAATCATTCGTTTGTACCAACCTTTGAGACATTTATAGTTGTATCACTCGGCAGAGGGACACATTTAAGCCTCACTATAACAAATATATACCTGTGTTCTGTGAGCTGTATACAGCAGGACACATTTTGTTTACGTAGCAGAGAAAGAGAATTAGTAATGCAAAGATTAAGAAAGAGGAAGAGAGCTAGAGGGCAGTGAGACATTACTTTACATTACATTTTATCTCTGGTTAGTAGATACGACTTGACGTAAATTTCACATCAACCTCATATGTTTTGTAAAAATATTAAGTAATTATTTTTAATAGTTGTAGAAACTGCAATATTTCATTTCACAATTCTGTATCAACAATTTATTTTTCCTTATTTATCACTGTACACAATGATCGCACATGTGACAAAATGAACAAATGAAGTTCTTGTGATTATTTTCACTCTTTCTCAGTCAGGCTTTCAGGGTTCCCCCCATAAATCCCAACATTTATGAACTGTGTGTTATATGGAGGAAAAGGCAGAAGCAAGAACAAGGCCTACAGAGGAGTTAACCAATTTAGAAGAGTCAGCTGACCGAACACAGGCTCACTGTTAGACATACAGCATTATCAACCCTTTTTGTTTTTCTCACTATTTAGAGGCAAACTTAAGACACAGACACGCATGTTCGTTCCCATCACATCTGCCCACTGTTTCTGATCAAAAAGACTTGTTGTGCTAAAATATAAATAATTTCATTTTATTGTCCAATGTATATAAAAGGCAGGCATTTGTGTCACATGCATCATCTCTAAAGTTAGACGAGAACTCAATGTTCTCAGGAGAGGAAACATAGAGGAACTTTTTTTTTAATGTGACCAGATTTTAAGAAATGGAGCAGAAAATTATATATGTACAGTGACTGACTATTGTTAGTTTTTATTTATGTGTCTCAAACAGACCTCTTTTTAAAATGAGACCCTACCGACTACTAGTGACTACAGGATAAATAAAGGTTAATAAATATATCAATGTATATGATAAGAAAAAGTCATATTTTAAGAGAACAGCCAGTGCTTCTATTTAAGTAAGAGAATCAGCCCAACATATCATCTTAAATATTTAACTTGCAAAAATCTCAATGAAAACGCATTGTGTTGTGTGTGAGAGAGAGAGACAAAGGTAAATGGGAGAGGTCGAACTGCAGTCTCCCAGGGCTTCTTGAAGGAAGCTGACAAACCGGTGACACTGCAAGCCATCAGTGTAGGGTGTGAGAAAAAGGCGTGTGTGTGTGTGTGTGTGTGTGTGTGAGAGAGAGAGAGAGAGTGTGTTTCCTGAGAGGATTTGCACATGTCATTAATTTACTTTCTACATATTTGCAACATGCTGATGTGACATTTGATGAGGTAATGGCCAAGTACATTGAAACATTAGTCTTATTGAGTTAGAAGGTCCTGGATTCCTTACATGTACCAACAAGATATTGGGAAAAGCAAGCTACAAAAGCAGTGTTTTGTATCCATTGTTTAATCAAGTTCTAATTACCATATTTTGACAGAAATATAGTCAGACTGCTTAGAATAAGAAGAAAAAAAACTTAGAATTTTAACCAATTTCTTATAGAACTTGTACCAAAGACTCTCAGCTTGAATGTTAAATCCTATAGAACAAGCACCAGTTCAATGTACAAGACGCACATTGTTTTCAGCAGTTGAAATGTTAATGAAAATAGAATTAGAATGAGCGGATTGACAGTGGCAACAGTAACTTCCTTATTCATTTAAAGAGTAATCTCTTAAAATGGGATACATTTTTATATTAGAGTAGAGTAGAGTAGAGAGTAGAGTAGGGCTTTATTCATCCCCCTTGGGGGAAACATACTAGTACAGTAGGCAGTGCAGAAAAAGAGAGAAGAGGAGTTAACACAATAAATAGAGTAAAAAAGAACTAAAAAGCAAAGAGCACTCAAAAATTAAAGTAAACCTTTAGAAAAAAATATACATTATAAACAAGAAAATATACATATTGCACTAAAAAAGTGGCATATTATTAGTCACTTTTTCAAATAATGTTCTTCTGAGAGTAGGACAAAAAGTTACTGTGATGTCTCGAGCAGCTGCTCGTTTGACTGACAGGTAGAATTTGCCCACTGGGCAGACAGATGAAGAGAAAGGGCCAAAAGAAAAGAGGATGTCTCTTTTCAGGTAATTTGAGGAGCAATGCCTTGAAGCACAAGTCCTCACTAATGATGAGAGAGCAGCTCTAATGGGGGAGGGAAAGGGAGAGGACCAGAGTGGAGAGAGGAGTATAATTTTTCCTGTTATGCTGCTTTCATCAAACTGTCACTCATTAATTTGAATGTCTCTGTATTTCTCTGAACTCAGCTCATCTGTTGGTAAAAATCCATTGTAGTGTATGAAAATGTTTTAACGTACTGTCACCTAAAAATGCTAACAGCACAGTAGAATCTGGTTTATTTGTTGCGTCAAAAATACTACTTGTACATATTTTGAACGGTTTGTGCCAAAGACGACGCAAGGAAGAATTTTATTTTTTATATATAGAATTTATTTTTCTGCAATTAGGGTCTTATCCAGAACTTAATTAATGAACATCTGAGGTAGAAGTTGGAACCGATGGCATTGATTTCCTACGCTGATAGACAATAGATTTATTTACATCCAACAGTCCACACAACTGCACTGTACATGCAGTTTAGACTGGAACAACACTAATAAGAGTTTCTTTGTGTGTAAATTGGACATTTTCTCAGAATGTGTTTTGCTAAACTTGCTTAGGCTGTGGGGCAAATAGATCCATAGGCAGGTTCTCATACTGACAGTGTTGTTTAAAGCCCAGTTAAAGAATACAGTACTTTATTATTAATTTTTAAGTGCAAATGTGCTATGTATTGTAAACACTGTACATTTAAAAAAATACACAATCAGATGATTTAGGTGTTATTAATACTCTCATACAATTTGAATGATTGTTCATCATGGAAATTTGTGGTGTGGCTTGGGTTCCGTCGTGAGATCTTCTGTGGTTAAGAGCTGGCTTTCCAAGCTAAACCAAGGAAGTCTGTGGTGTATTTGTTTGATTAATAAATAAAAAGGTATTCCTGACACTACAGCTAGCAGGCATTCAGGTAAAGTTTGCTGTTCAACACTTGGATTTATTGAGAGTCTTGTAGCACTGTTTTCACTGAGGAGTTCTAGTAAAAGAAACATTGAAACAAACACAAAAAATGAACACACATAAACAAACAAAATGCTGTTTGAGGACCTGGAAAGTCAAGTCTCAAAAAGAGGAAGTCCTCCGAAATGGTGAGGAATGTAGCAACTAGACCATAAACACACATTCAGTGAAGTGATAAGTGGCACTCTGTCACACACTGAGGATGACACTGTGGGGTCAAAAGTAACTCAGCTCTGTCATACAGTTACAGTGTATGTCCCTTTTTATACCTCCTGTGGAATAGTTGAAATAAGTTTAGTCTTATATCAGAAAGTGAATCATCACAGGGTAGCTGTGGATTAATCATGATTGTATATCTATGTAATATAATAAAACAGGAAATAACTTTTTACTTTTTCCAGGATTTCTGACTTAAGTCATTACTGTGCATCCTAACAGCGGCTCATACATCATTGAGAGTTGCTTTCAAAACCTTGGTCTGCAGTCTCTCATAAACCGTTTGACAACGGTGTCAGTCAACCTGTCAGTCTGAGACCTATTTACTGCCCTTCACTCGAGAGGCTGGTCTGACGTGTCTGACTGGAAGTCGAAGTCTCCACTGAATGGGATTGTATTTAAGTGAGCAATCAATAACTTTTATCGACTATGTATTATGTAATAGATGGTGGAAATAATGCCAAATTCTGCCCATCTTTTTAAAGTGTTAAAAACTTTAATCACATTAGTCTTCACAAATGAATTAACGC